CACTGGCTAAGTCCTGACCTGACTCTGAATGAGCTGTGTGATCATGGGCACATCACATCTCTGAGCCTTGGTGTTCTTCCTGTGACATGGGCCAACAACACCAGGCACCTCATAGGATGGCTGTGAAGACTGCATGATACAGTAGATAGAAGACAGCTAAAGCAACACCTGGTGCTATGGTTTGGATGTGGTTTGACCCTGCAAAAGCTCATGTTGAAATTTGATTCCCAATGTGGTAGTGATGGGAGGTGGGACCTGGTGGGAGCTATTTGGGTCATCGAGACCAATCCCTTATGCATAGACTAATAGCCCTTTGAGGGAGGGAGGGAGTTCCTTCTGTCACGAGACTGGATAGGTTACCTGAGAGCAGGTTATTATAAAAGCAAATTCACCTTTGGAACCTCTCTTGCTTTTTATATCACCTTGTGGTCTCTTTCCAAATGTCTGCTCCCCTTCTGCTTTTTGCCACGAGGGGGAGCAGTATGAGGCCCTCAACAGATGCAGCTGCCCAATTTGGACTTCCCAGCCACTAGAACTGTGAGCCAAATAAACCTCTCTTCTTTATAAATTACCCAAGAATTCAGATATAGCATCACAAAATTGACTGAGACAGCTGGTGTAAGCATCAGATACTCCACAAACGTTCTTTCACAAACACAACAAGAGTCCCTGCCTTCATACACACCACAGATAACTGTTGAGCATCTACCAGGTGGAGGCACCACCCTCAGTGCAGGCATACAGCAGAGAACTCAAATGGGCCTGGAGTGACCTGCTGGTTCAGGTTCAAACAGTTCCATCCCAGTCAGTGACCAACCAGAACCTGGCTCCTGGTCTGTGCACCCCTGCTAAGAGTCGGTGGGTGCACCACACTGCTTCTGTCCACTTGGGCCTATTGACAGAGCCTGTCTCTTATACACATCTAGATGTGTATAAGAGACAGACAGATAACTGTTGAGCATCTACCAGGTGCAGGCACCACCCTCAGTGCAGGCATACAGCAGAGAACTCGAATGGGCCTGGAGTGCCCTGAGTTCCATCCCAGACCAGGCAGAACCTGGTTCCTGGTCTGTGCACCCCTGCTAGGATTCAGTGGGTGCACCACACTGCTCCTGTCTACTTGGGCCCATTCACAGAGCTGCTCACACCTGAGCAAAGGATGCAGCTTGGGACAAGGTGCTGCTAGGCATGGAGAATCTTCCTGTCTGACCTCAGATTCTTGTCCTCTGTTCACAGGGCCTTATCCAGGGGTGACCCACGCCCTCACCACAACGGACATTGCCATCATTGCAGGTGAGCTGTCGTCACAGAGCCCTTCAAGCAGCCAGGGTGGGGGGCCTTGGTGAAAACATCCAGGTAGAACTGACCTAAGGACTGGGGCAGGGGTGGCTGTGGCCATTTTTTCTCTCCTTCAGAGGTGGTTTTGTATGTGAAATGGAGGAGTCTAGTCCTGGGTAAATATACATACATACGTACATGGTACATATCTGTATATATATTTATCAGTCTTCCTCAGGGCTGTTGACTCACAGGAACTCAGGGGCTGGAGAGACAGCAGCTGTGGTGAGGGAGGTTGAGGGTGGAGGTGGGATGAGGGTAGACTGACCAGGCTACTTAGACTTCTCCACCATCTCCCTCATCCCACATTATTTTCTGCCCTGGGTCCATGCCCCCAACCCTCCATCCTCAAGGAAACTTGAGCCTGCCTTTGCCTTGCTTTGAACCATGAGCAAGTGGATCCCCGTGGGTCATGGCTGCGACTGCAAACTGTGCCACGAGAACAACCAAGTTTGGGAGGTGCTGTGCGCTCTGTGACCTTCTTTCAGATCCACACTTCTCAGCAGTTTATTAATAACTCAGGAAACATGTACAATTTAAAAAGAAAGAAAAAGCAGCAGCAGCAAGCAGTCAAAGACACCCGTTGGACTCTGTGTACCCTGGCATTCTCCAACTCATTGCAC